CTTGGGCAAGACCCATCCACTGGACAAAAACTGCGGAAATAGCAGCTCTTCGCCGGACGTTGTTAATAACATCAAAGCTTCGATGGAGCAGGAAGTTGGCACACTGGACGATGCCGATGCGTGTTCCCAATGGTATTCGATGAGACGCAAAACCTCTATAGAGAGGAGACGGAGTAGCCGTATGATATCTGCCAGACGCATGGCGTTGACCCTGACCCAGGGTATGTCTACCGTAGACGATAGCACACAGCTATATACCCTTGTCAAAAGTATGACAGAGGAGACGACGGCGACGTCATCCTCAAGGCTATTCCCGCGTTCGATGCTCTTCTTAAGCTGGACAAGATATACTTCGAAGAGTTTGGCGGTGCCTTGTAAGCAGGCAACTTAGCCGAAGTGGTCATTATACGACGGGGAGAGGAGATCAATTCGTCGTCGCTTCTGGATGAAGCTGCTCTGGAGTCCATTGAGAGGATGCTGAGCGAATGAAGTGGATCTTCAACCCTAAAGAATCCCTCAGATATGCATTATTATTTGATGAAGGAGTTTTAAGACTTCGTTTCCAAAGACACGCCGTTGGTCCTACCTCAGGACCGAGGTGTGCGTCATGAGATCGACCTGATTCCGGGAATCAAATATCACGTAACACGCGTCCAAGAAGCAGTGTAACGTCAATGACGCCTTCTTCTGTGCGAAGCACGACGCAGGGATGGTGCGTGAGAGCGTCTCCCTATTCGACACCCAAATTCTGTGTCCGAAAACTGGGCGGCAAGTGGTGTATCGTTCACGCTTATAACAAGCTCAGCGGTTGCAACCATTTTAGCACAGACGCCGAATCCTAGAAATGATGTTTTCCAGGTCAATACGGGTGACTGTACAAAGTACAGTGTACTCGACTTGGTCGATGGGTATTACCAATTGCTCATGAGAGCGAGTGAAATTCCGCTGACTGCGGAGAACATCCCGAGCGGCATGCTCTGTGAGTGGCTGGTCAAGCCCCAAGTGTTGTCAAATGCACCAGCAACGTTTAATCGTCTTGTGATGTCGTTGTTCAGGCCCCACTGGGAGTATGCACAGACATCCTTTGACGACTTCCTTGTCCACAGTCGTGCGGAGCGCGGGAGGACGGATGAAGAGAGCCACATCGTCCACTTAAAAGCGTTACTCGAGTGCATGCGTTCGAATAAGCTGTATAATCATGCAGACAAGTTCATCTTCGGCGTAGTAGAAATTCTCATGTTAGGGTGCTTCATCGGGACGTGTGGCCTTCGAGCGGATCCCGCTTAGGTCAAGGCAATTGTGGACTGGCCGGTTCCAAAATACTTGCGCAAGTGGCTTAGCCTCGCCAACTACTTTCTCAAGTACAGCGAGAACTACGCAGAAATGGTACGACTATCGTCAAATCCCCTCAAGATGGATAAGAAATGATGTTGGGACACAGAGCAACAGGAGGCTTTTGACGGTGTCAAAGATAGCCGCTTTCATGCAACAATACTAGCGTTGTCAGACCCTGATCTTCCTTTTATCGGCTGTGACCTGCTGCAAGCAGACGCTGAGGGACGAGATGGGGTGATCGCGTTCAAATCTACTCAACTCAGGGCTGTGCAGCAGAACAACCCAGCTCACGACGATTAATTACTTGCAATGAAGTATGCACTTGTTAAGTTCAGGGTTCACCTGTTTATCTCCAAGCCGTTTGTGATCTACACAAATCATGCGTAAATACGTACTATGACTCATTCTCCTCACCTCACGCAGAGGATGGCCAGGTGGCTCTTCTTTTTTGCAGAATATAACTTCTAAATGAAGTATAAGCCAGGTGAGCAGAATGCTTTGGCTGATGCGTTGTCACGCAGTGACGTCGTCAGTGACAATCTATATCTTCGCCTCGTACACGGGTGTTGATATGTGCGTAATGCTGCTACAGCCTCGCGAGAGCAAGAAGTTGACGAGAAGTTGTCGTCGCGAATGTGTGCACGGTTGCACTGATATTTATTGGATAATGGATCGCTGTATTATAGCGCCGACTTTGCTATTACACCAAAAATTTTGGTTCCTCACGATGAGAATTTAAAGTTTTGTATACTCTATGAGGCCCACAACCCCCACTCAGTGGTCATCTCGGTCGTGAAAAGTCCTACAACTCTAGGGGTTGCCATTCCCAGCTGCACAAACGTGTGAGACGTGTCAAAGGGTGAAACTCTCTCCAAATGCGACGGCACCGCTGGCCAGTTTGCCGGTACCTTCCGGGTGTTGGTATTCCATGAGTATGGGCTTTTTGTTTGGCCTTCTTAGGAACTTGGCGAGCAACACGGTTGTAATGGTCTTTGTTGACCGTTTGAGCAAGATGGCTCATCGTGCGGCGGTGCCGAGCACCATCGATGGTATGGGTACAGCGACGCTGTTTGTGGATCGTGTCTTTCGACAACATGGACTCCCGAAGTTAACTGCCTCTGATAGAGACCCAGACCTTATTGGGACATTTGGTCTACAATCTTCAAGGTACTGGGCACCAAGTTGACTGTGTCAACAGCGGACCATCATCCACAGACCGATGGTGAAACTAAGCGCGTGAATCGCCTCGCTGTATTTTTCCTTCGCAGTACCTGCGCTGAGACACCGAGGCATGGTAGTGCCATGCTGCCACTTGTGGAGTTCGCTCCTAACAATGCAGTGCATGCGTCTACCGGCTACACGCCGTTTTACGTGAACGGGCTCGCTCATCCTCGCGTTCTGCTGAAGCCACCAGCCCATGACTCAGCAGGGCTTGGCGGGGGAGGAATACCGAGCTACTAACCGATATTACTCCCACTGTTCGTAAAGAAGTCGATGACTTCCTGTCTACCAGACTGAGTGTCTCTCGACACGTTCACATTGCAATGGCTGTCAGCCAATACATGCAGAAGAATTATGCAGACGGAGGCGGTAGAGGAGATGTTAAAAACTCTGAGATCAGTTCACTCCACTTTTACATTCATGATGTCTGTTCCTTGAAGCATAATTGCATCCGTGATCTTCTTCTATGGCTACCACCACATGATCGTTGAGCGCTCTCTTCTTTTGCGCTGTCATATCAAAAAGATAAAAGAAGTGTGAACCCCAGTGTGGTCCATAGCTTGAGGATAACAGGATATGTACCTTTCGCATTTGTACAATTATATGAATAAAGTTATGAAGAAATGTATTGAAGCCACCTTACGCTAATGTGTAATTGTAAGTATTCAGAAATACCGAAGTATGGATGGGGTACCTTTGAAGTTGATGAAAATTCGCGATGAAGACGCGTGGAAAAAGCTATATATACTGTACTTGCTTAAGAATACTTAGTCCTGATTTATTGCAATTTTAAATTAGAAGCTGTAATATCTTTATAAGATTTCGATTTCGCTCCTGAGTGGAGCGCACGAACTCTAGCTCTACGCGTTGTATCTTGCACAGTCTTATGTCAACGAATTCCTTCGTGAAAGGTGCAGAGCGACCCCGTTGCAGCAACCCTGAGACGACAATTACATCTGCAAGTCTTTGCACGGATCTTTCTATAATTTTTAGGTCAAAGGCTTTTTATACAGCGTGTGTGAACGCAATGGAACAATTCAAAAAGGCATGTCTATCCTAGACTGATAAACAGACACAACACTGCTGATTGAAATGCCAGTCCAGAAAAATCTTTCCCTCTTTTTATACTACTTTACTGCCTAAAGTTCTTAGAAAGCGCTGTGAGAATGTTAAAACTAAATCGCAATGAAGATATGAATTCCCATGCCACAGAGGTAATTATTATTTAAATGCTGGTGATTAATTTGTCGGGCTTATCATCTATCGTCAAAGCAACTGTGCGTACATCGCTCACTATCTATTAATCAGGATGTATACCTGGCTGACCCCGTAATTGAGGATTATCAGCAAAAGCACTGCAGCGAAGAGCACCGCTTCCTTGAATCAAAAGCTAATCCATCAAATGCCGAATCGCATAAGATCGTTTTTTACCTCGATAAGTATCAAAGGGCGATTGATGAAATTGAGTAAGGTCACACGACATTCAAACAAACGTATTTGTCAACGAAAACATTCCCAAATTCCGTTAGCTGTCAGAAGTATGTCAATTGCATTCGGCTCTAGATCGAAGCTACGACACTATATTTACGAAGGAAATTCGGCTAAAAACATTACTCAATAAGCTGTAACATCGTCGTTGTGAACATAATCGTTAAGTTGTTCACAGCACTAGACTCTTGTTGTCGACAAAAAGTAAGCACAGACGACAATTATCGGGTAGTAAAGATGTTTTGCACAGATACTAAGTCAGAACGAAAAGCTTTGCAGTATATCTAACAAACATCAACGGCGCACAAGGCCGTACTAAATGTTTGTTGTAGGTATATACAGGGACCCTGCAGTAATTTGGGAGCTGACCGACTTTTTTAACTGACATAAAAAAACGTAACTTAGGTATCAGCAAGAAATTTGCGTTCGATTAGAAAAATCATTAAGCGCCTCTTTGATGCGTCGATTTTAGGTTGCTCTAGCTTGCTCCGTGGATGGTGGAAGCCACGCTTATAATTTATCGAGAACTTTTGCCAATTTCCAAATTTGAATGTTTTATCGACTTAATCGCTGCAAGACGCTATATGTTTAGCCACACGAGCTCTTTTCAGCGTTGGCTAAGAAGCGTCCTGACAGCAATGTCGCCGCGTTAGAGATTCTTAGGCTTTCTCTATGTATTTGTTTCGACTATGTTGAGCTCAGCACCATCGGAATATTGCGATGCAATAAAAAGTAGCACTTTTCGTTGGAATTGTTCGTGGAATGGATGGAGGACGATCATAGTGGAATGACACGACGATATGAAGCGCTAAAATTCTAATCGTTGAAGCAATTATTTATTTGCTTGAAAGATACATTTTCTGCATGGGTGTTCTCCATTCCAATCTTTCGCAATCTACGGAATACCAGCTTCAATCTCCAGTGTTACACTAGATTCTGTTGTTGGTTTTTTGCAACTGAACGAATACCAGACTTGGACATTTGTTTAGCAAATACTTGGCTAAATACTATCTCAGCATCCTTGATGTTTCCCCAGGACGTGTTCTGACTAGCATTTGCGTGTTTGCCTTACAAAACCAATCAATATTTATATTATCACCGTAAAACTACGATTGCAGTAGGGCAACAAAATTTAATCCGATGCTAATCGCCCGTTAAGATTAAATTGTCGTCAGCAGCTTCGACGTTTCCCAAGGCATTAATGACCTTCTTTTTTAGCATAATGGGAGCATGGAATGACAAGATATCTACAAAAGAAGTACAAGCCGATCGATCTGCAAACGATGAGGCACGGATAAGAAGTTCTCAAATTCTGAGATTTTACTAAAAGCACGCTGCAGACTCATATTGCTAACTAGCTCTATTCAAATCTTAAGCTACCTTCGTGACATTAAAGCGGTTGAATTGCGCTGAAGCAATCTTGTCGGTTCCATAGATATATACTGCTAACTATAATGATTTTGGGTAACCCTTCATACATCAACGTGTATGTGTGCACTGTAAGGTCTTTTATTCAACTGATGTATCTAGTTAAATCCTATACTGACCCTAGATGGTATGGAAGTGAATTTAGACCTTCTGAATAATGAACATTGTTTCTGTGAGTTATTCTGAAATAGTTCGTTCCCCACAACTGACACAAGAACCGACGCGAGTATAAAAAGGATTACCAAGTAGAGTGTAACATCGCAAAAACTCGTCGCTAAACGGTTTAAAAATGATCAAAAGCCGAGAATACATCACTATAAAAGTATTTTAAACTTTGAACGGTTCAACTGAAGCTTCCGTCACGACACGCACAAGTAAAATTAATTTATTCGATTGCACTCCAACATCAAAGACGTCAAGGCAAGTCTTGAAGGCATTTAACACAGACAGTCCTACTTTTGGGGACAAATATCCCAAATGTCGTTCGGTCCAACAGTAAAAAGCGTCAAGACACCTGAGCTTTGGTCACTCCCACGGATCGGATTCGTTGTATATCGTGCAGCCGTATTCGTGACTGCTGTGTTCTACTTGAAGATCTCAATGGATTCATTTATCACAGCACTCATTGTATTAACTGGTGTCGTTTCTCACGACTTGCCAATCGAGACTCACGAATCGCATCTCATCGTCAATTACATTGGCACAGCAACGGTTCAAACTAGCCCTTTGGTGCAAGAAGTTCTTGAAGGATCTACCGCACCACGAAACGACACTTTGTATCTTGAAACAGCAACCGCACATTCATTTAGAAGCTGTTCGGATGTACCAAATTTTGATGCGCACATCTACAGCAATGACTTCTTACGTTTTGTCTTTTCGAGAATGCAAATGTACGCCTCATATAATTTGACATATATGAAAGACTTGGAACTGGTGGTCCCGGTAGTAGACTGCACTTTTGATATGCTGACATGGGGTGATAAGACTTCCGCACGTGTGTATTACCTCGCACGGCAAAAGAGCGGTTCACTTAAAACGGTCATTTTGTCGACTATGCTCTCGGTTCAAGACTATGAGGTTCAACAGCAATTTCAGCGAGGACCTGGAATGGTGCTTCTAGTGACAGCGATTGATGATATGCGTAGCTCTGCACTTAAGCATAACATCGCTGTAGCGCTGAACTACCCGTACGTTGCTGAACCAAAATTTGTCTACTCAGAATTGCAAGGTTTGGATGAAGATAATTACTGGATCCTCAAAGCGTTGCCAAACACCCGTACAAAGGACCCTGGTCAAGTCATACGAATGGCTCGCCGTTTTGGTCGCTTCAGAGGCGACGTGACGTCGCAGTCAAATATTGAAGTAGCACATTGGGATTTATCGAATGACCCAAGAGTAGAGCTACGTGAATGGAGGTGGTACAGCAGAGCTGTGCTTCACGATTCATGGGCCTGGGCTCATGCTATTCACGGAATTTTCGCCATCGATGTGATTGTTAATCTGAGCTTGCTTACATTTATAATCTATCGACGTTTTCGTATGGGATACATTTGGTTGGGAGATGCATTTTCCACTATTTCAAGCACGCTTCTATATCGAGGGCTACTTGTTCTCGTGTTTTCTCAACTAAATGGGTATTGGACAGTCACAAAGATGATTATCTCAATCGGGGATACTCTCACGGATCAACACGTCGTTTATTACAAACCGGAACTTGTTCATGCTGATTTCTTGGCCATGTATTTGAATTTAGTGAGTTTTATAAGCTACTTAGCTCGCGAGCGTATAGATCCACTTTTAGCGTTTGCAACTTTCGAGCTGGGATGGGGATATCGTGTTGAGCTTATTGATATGTTCCCAGTATTTAGAACAACTGTTACAGACTTTGCGTTTGCTGATACGACGCGAGGTCTTTTGCATGTGCGACCTGGTTTAGCAGCTTTGTCACCTATGGAATTGCTTACATCGTACAGTATTCCTGAGAATCGATTCTACGTCGTCTGTTCTATTATATTCTCCATATTTAGCCCCATTGTATTGGTCATTGGTTATATAGTAGTGAGAAAAATCGCTCGGCGCGAGGATCTCGGTGAAGGGCGTCGATCAAGTGTATACAGAACCGACAATATGAATCAAACTGATCTCACAACTTTTGAGGCTGCTACTGGTGCAGCTTTGGGAAACCGATATGGAATTGTATCAAGTTATAAGAATTATGTCATGGAGAACGAGACAATCTTAGCGACTATTGATGCAGTATATGGCAGTGGGTTTCTCGTTGCTAATAACAAATTTGTTGTTGCGACTCAAGATTTGATTCCATTGTTTTTAATGAAGGCAACCCATGTGCGCTTTACCAATATATTTGTGTACGAAATTGTTGACGGAAGGGCTGTGAAGAAAAGTTCACAACTTGTCTACCCAGAAAGCATCAAGTGGAATGATCTTTTTCATCTCGACGTAATTGTGCTCTCCTAACTTGGACAAATAGGTTACGATCTTTATTACAGAACACACAATTTTTAATTTGTGACACAAATCATTGGTTTATTTAATGCTTTTAATATTATGAAGGCACAAAACACATATAACCTAACGTAATATGTATATGCGTGTATCACAGTAAATGATGATGAAATTTAAATTTGAACGAACACTGATCAAATCTCCAATAACAAGTTTAGCCCTATCAGTCTCCTACAATCCGTTAGTCGGCTTTACCTTTTTCGTCGAGCAAAAAAGCGTTCGAGCGACTTCGCGTGGCTGTCTTCGAGAAGTTTTGATGGTTATTCAGGCGCGCCTATTCACGCCGATAGTCTAACTAACATGTGTTGCAGAAACTTGGCCGTTTTAACGCGCCTTTATAGCAAAGAATTGGACCGATTGAAACGAGGGACCGTTAGGTCGGCGCAGAGGGAATTGCTGCTGAGGTATAACTCCACTTCAAGCTCAGGATGAGCTTCATGGTCAAATGAAATACCACATCGTATATCTCTCCTTGTTAGCTTTGGCCTTAAGCTGTATAAATTACAAGGCATATTTTTATAAGAGCACGGACCTATATGACTAAATTGATCAGTAGCATTTGACAAAACCTTGTTGACCACATCAAATTGTAGGTACTGCGTCTGCCTTTGCATGTCTTGGTCCTTTACCAAGGCGTCGCGCACCAAGTGCGTGACCCTTTACTCTCGTCGCGATGACTTTTTCAATTTTGCAATGAAATTGCAGCGAGGCTGCCTTAGCTTTTCGCTTAGAGGAAGGTTTTTTTAGGTCACCGACCTTCGTATATACTAGAATTTGTACAAGTGTAGCGCGCTACCTCCAAGAGTAACCAAAACCTTAACCCAAGGCAGATGTACTCTACCGTTTACAACTAAAACTGTAATTATCTGTTTTATTTGTGGCAGAGCCGCCTATATCTAAACCTTAGGTTTTCTTAACAAATAGTAGAACCTAATTGATATGCGTAACTACTGGCAACCCGCAAAGTGGTGGCTTCTCGTTACGGTGTAGCCACACCATTGTGTGTTTACGCCGACTTGCGTGATCCACACCTTTGTACAGTCACACCATCTTGTGTGACCCACCCTATCATACCAGGGTACTTGTATCCCAGTTGCAGAAATGCACCCGGTCAAATTTCAGTATATCGATTGGTTTCAATGACCTCTATCTCACCAGAATCGGAACCACTTTGCAAAGGCATCAAGAGGACACAACAATTTATCAAACCAAAAGGAAAGCCTTATAATGCGTGAATGGCACTCCTAAATGCAAAATCAACAAGTGAATCTATTCATGTCACTACAGGCCATGCTGCTCCGCGCAAGTGTTCTTGCCCCACGCGATCAAAACGTTTCGGCTGACAAATCATCTGTAGACGGCCCACCGTGGATATATCCATTCTGATGCAAACCGCCTTAAGCAACACCAAGCTTTCGCTGTGTATCCCAATCCAAAACAATGTTCGCCAAAAAGACTAGCAAAAGACTTATTCGGTGAAAAGGTCAATTTCATTCCCAACGGCGACGGAGTTGCTGATAGCAGTGAGATGAACTATGTTAAGCAAACGGTTTTCAAAGACTGCAATGTCGGTATTAAAAAAACACGTTACGATCGAAAAACTAATTCCAATTTGATACAAGTACTCTATCAGAACCAGTAGACTGCCCAACGAAAAGTTCGGATAAGCAAAAGCACAGCGTTTGGGCTCACATGAGAACATTGAACAAGCCTTTCAAACTAAACTGCTATTGTCCAAAGACTTAGAGCGAATAGCGAGATTCACCCAGGGTGGCGAATCCTGATCAGTAGATGGTACAGATAAGAGTGGTATGCTCCGAGAGTAAGCGGTCTGTGAGACACGTGGGCCGCTAACCTCACGCTTGCATTATATAGAGATTTAGTGGTGTATATACTGATGTACATATTCATTATCATTATTAGCAAACATTATCTAGGATATACGTCATTTCCACACTGTAGAAATTAAAGCAAACGGAGTAATGAATGCCCTGATGTTTCTTGGCTTAGCGTCTGAGCGATGCGTACAAGCCATTTCTATGCTTTAGTTGGCATGGCCTCGTTAAGTCAGGCTTCTTCTGGGCGAGCTGTATAGCAACCTTTATGTACCTGGTAGCACTGTCGTCAATTTGATGACCGACTCTGAATGAGATCATCTTAACTGTGAAAATCTGTTTTTAATTTTCTGGGACAACACGGCGCGTGCTAAATAAGCTTCTGCCTCTAGAAGGTCCTGATTAGATAGTATAACCGACGTCCCGAGAGACAAAAGCGACACAAACGGGCTTCACAATGAGGCTTTATTCCCCCATTTAAGATCGAAATTAGACAATATATCTCAGGGCCAAGATGGCCCAAGCTCCAAATAGAGAATCCGTATGTCACGCTAGCTTTCTTCAAGTTTCTCAGCGTGATAAGTCAGATACTATCCCACCTATATATAAGAAGGATTTTTTTACACAGGAAGTCGCTATGTGACAGATGTTTGGAATGTCCGCACCACTTAAGTAGGCATACCACGTGCGATTAAAGCTTATTCAAACCTGACAAAGAGAGAGAGGCTAGGAAGCATTGTTCAGGCGCTGATAATTTGTTTATAATGTGATGGCAAAACCCCTTATACATTGACTTGGCTACCATCATTTTGGAAGGCTGTGTAATGGTACTGCGGGGAGAGAAATTCGCCAAACCCACCCTTCCTTTTCAAAAATGCGGTGGGTTTTGGACTGAGAGCGGGACATAATTCTCGAGTAGTTGGCCTGCTGAACGTGGCGCTTCTATTAGTGCATCAGATGCGATCGGTCTAATCTTAACAGAAAAGCGCGTTTAAAAAAAGCGGAGTTGAGGTCAAAACCTCCGACCAAAACCTCCTTGTTGCTGGTACCTATGGGAAGCAAACAATAGGTACCAGCAACGCAATCACATGTTGCATCTGGTCAATACAAATAACGTGTTGCCTCATAAATGTTCAGCGTTTCTATTATGAGAGCAAGCAGAATGTACATGAGCTTTACAAGAGCTTAATGCATCGCCAGTGACTTCCGGTTGTGAGCCGGATAGTTCCTCTCTACCGCTTAAACCTGGAGAGACCCGATGCGATGACGCGTTCATGTCCAATGATATTTTGAGTATTGTACAGCTTATGCAAAATTCAAATCGTCAAAGGTGACACTAGCTGAACCAAAAATGGGAAGGGCTTTTTGGGGAGCAATCACACGTGTCAATTCACAGCCTTAACGTACAAACACATGAAAAAAACGGGATTTCTCAACCGCTCGTACTCATAGCACAGGCGGTAATTCTGACAAATGATAAACTGTTGGGTTAAACTCGCGCGCCGAACGGCTTCCCGGTTCTTGCTTGTCTCTAGGTTTGAGCATAAGGTCCGCATACAGTGGGGTGTAAGGGCTCCACACCAGAAGTGCGAGCAAATTCAAACGACTCCAAGAAGCGCTCAAACGTGTTGAATTTAGCCAGAGCCACCGGAGCTCTCGCAGAAGCAGATTATCAAGTTGGGCTTCTTGAATGACGTCTTGTTCGTAAGCGACTGGCCAGACACTAGCGATTATTTCACGGTGACATTGCATAACGCTTTTCGCGAGTAGAAAATTATGCAGAGGACGTACTTTGAGCGGAGAGAATGTGCAGCTCAGTGAATGTCATCTCCGCAATGAACAGCTAGGTTGTGTTTCGAATGAAGGCAAAGGTGCGAATCCTAGACTCGGGAGGTCACTTCCGCCGTTTTGCAAAGAGCGCCTCAGCAATTGTTGCTTTAAATGCATCAGGCGCGTGATCGCAACTTTCCGGAGGATCGCTGAGCAATTTATTTAAGTGTATATGATGTGTCTTTAGTGCAAGTATGCTTTGTGGATTAGCAATGGAAAAAGGCAAGGCGAAGAATTACACTCATGGTTTCGTGATTGTTTGGTGAGCGACAGTGTCTAAAAAAATGATATAAAGTGATTTCCAGTTGGATCCATATCATGTGGGGCTAGCGCTGTAAATATTAGACTATTGTGTACTATCACTTTATAGTTTTGTTTCAATTGCTTGATATATAACTTGTACAAGCTCACATTATAATTTTTGAGATTGACTTTATCTATCTCATACTAATCAACTTCGTTGTAGATGATAGCAAACTTACACTCGATTGGCTCAGGTGTAGGGATATAATAGCTTTGTGCAAAGGTAGCGAATGAGAATGTGAGTCTGGAAGACCATTGAGCCATCGGCTCAGCAACTAAATGAACACGCTCTGCGATAACTACCTAAGATCGTACTAGGCGACGCCACTGACAAATAACATTCGAGTTTAAGCTATTCACGAATGACAAATGTTGGTATATCAATGGATCAAACGGTTCGAACTGGAAGTGATGAGAGGATTTGATGCGGGACGGGGATAAGATTTGGAAGCATCGAGAAAATATCAGTAGACAAAACAGCACGATCCAAAGCCAAACGATGGAAATCAACTGTAACGCAACGAAACTAACTGTTCAGCGTCAGATCGGAGCCAAGGATATGCACTTTACAACGTTTGGGCACAGTTTGAATGTTTGGCTAAGAAACACAAGCCACCCTAGCGATAGATGTCACAACTCCATTATGAATTTGAATAGAGACGGCAGCTCTAATTAAGTTTATTGGCGGCTGTTTAAACTGTCGAGACTTAACAATCAACGAATAAGAATTATGACCTCGGTGAATAATTGTACAGAGCGTAAAAAAAAAGCATACCGGTTTCTTCGACAAAAGCCTACAGATGAAAGTGCTGACTATGAGGCTACATTTCAATCCTTAAAGAACAAGGATGCAGCCGATACGGCACGCATACTGGAACATCAGCATCAGATGATGAGACCATAAAAATATTCGACCAAATATAATTTCCGCTACCTCCACGTACTATAAATATTTCGAAGGCAAACGGAAACTTCTGTTCAAAAATGAAACTGTAGTTTATTTTTTTAGTTGCGGCAGAGCCGCCAATATCTAAAACCCCAGCTTTCCTAACTAGTATAGCAAAATTGAACTTATATAGTACTACTGGCAATCCTGTCAGGTGGTGGCTTCTTGATACAGTGTAATCACACCACCCAACTCTGAATACACACCCATGTACGTCCGCACAATCTTATGTGACCCGCCCTTTCTTACAAGAGCACGTGTAAACCTCCATGCAATCCGTACTATATTGTACGAGGAGTACCATAGGAGCAAACACGGCCAGCAGAGTTGCACAACGACATTGACAGAGCATTCTGGGAGTGAGTTCACGCCACCAAGTCGAATGTGGTTGAGATCGATCGAAAACCCAACGGACAAATCTGTATCGTTATCAAGCGATCGCTATAGTGCACGACATGCATTTTCTAAACGAGAAACTCGTATGTGAAGGACAGGCCAAAGTGGATATTGCGGCAAATCAAGGTGATATGGTGGGGTATCTACAACCTCCATCGTCATTGTATTCGACGATCAACCTCTTTCGTACAATCCCTGTGATAAGAGGAGTCGCTAAGACATGGCTTGAGCAAGCCGACATAAAACATTGGATGGGTACGGATCCAGCTTGGTAAGACTACACCGGAACATTCAAGACCTTGAAGGGACCGATGAACTGAGGAAGGCCCCTCCCACACCAGAATCTTGCGTGTACCCCATGAGACAAGGAAGCAATACCGGATTACGAAGGCCGTTGATGTAAAATGGCGTAAAGCTAGTTGAAGCATGGACCGCATTGCTGATGGTAAACTCGACCATCCGAAGAATAGCACTCCATATCGACAGCGACAATTCGCAAAAACTGTGTAAAATGCATTATCGACGCGTATCACGCGTTCGTTGTAATCATTGGTCTTTGGGTGGTCCTTGGTGGCCATCTCAAGGTGAGTACATAATAAACAGAATAAGCTTGCCCAAATGTCCGCTGTAAAGCGCGTGTCACGATCGGATATGATTGACTCTGGTAAGGTATGATGTCGAAAGACATCATCGATAATAAACGGATGTTCTGTTCGCCAGTAACCGAATTAACGTTGGTGCGAGGTGCACCATCTTGCATCAAACGGTCTGCAAGACCAAAACATCATTATGCCCAGGGGCAACAAGGGGTTATTACTCAAAGAAAATGTCTAAACTGACGGGCCGCCAGCAATCTACTGATACTGGCAGACTGGATAGGGCTTCACATGCTGAATTCGCCACATGTACAAAGGTACTTCTCAACCCAAGCATACATTTTGAGCCACCAAAAGTGGTGTGCAAGCGCTGCATAGTCTTTTTTCGACCGTGATGACCCGTATTAGACGTATCATGTGCTTCATACCCCAACTTGTGCTTCGATATTTCGTTGTCGGGTACGACAACCCGAGATTTATCTCTTCATGTACTTGTTGGATAACCCATCCTCGAGGGAGTCTCGATGACTTCTACCGCGAACTCGCGGAGATATTGTCGAAAAGACTGTACTTTCCGTATTTATCAGCCCTTTAGAAACAAAACAGCACAAGCTGGGTCGTTTAGATACACATGCCGTATCATGTCGAATACGTTTGAAGTAGCTTGCAAAATTACGGGTAATTCGTAATCGGGACGCCGAGATAAGGCATCCGCCTGGACATTCAATTTGCCTGGCTTATAAGCCATTGATAAGTTGTATTCCACAAAGAATAACAGCCAACAGGCCATCCGTTTTTGCAAATGAGGAGTTTGAGTCGCTGTACGCAGACATGCGTGGTCGGTAGAAATAACGAATGGCTTGGACCCCACTAGTAAACTCTAAGCATCACCAAAGCATACTTTAACGATTCATTGTCGTGAACGAGATAATGCCGTTCAGCTGCCTCAACTGATACGAGCGACATATTTTTGTCCATTAACATCTTGCTGCAGCAATGAACATCCGATCACAAAGTTGGAAGAGTCGCACGCGACACTGTACGGTAAATTGTCATTTGTTATGCCAATATAGGCGCCGCCTGCAAGTGTGTTGACATCGTCTTAGGATACTACACATTAATGTGTCCATAATCACTCTTGATCTTTCTTCAACGAGTCCAATAACGGGCGTGCCTCGTCGGCATAATTAATGGTAACTGATGGAGATAGTTGACCAAACCCAATCACTTTCTCAGATCCTTCCGGTTAGTTGGCGTCAGCCATTCTAAGATCGCTTTGAGCTTCGCTGGGTCTGCTCGAACACCGCCGAGGCCGACAAACAACCCAGAACTGATACGTTTTTGGCGTCAAAAAATATACATTTATCAATTTTGGCCAACCTGATGATCTGTAATGCACGTTAACCTGTTTCAGGTGTTCGAGAAAAATTTAATCGATAGATTGGCCTGCTTCGGGTGTTGAATGGACAAAAATGTCGTCGAAATACGTCGACGCGATCGACCGCAGTGCATACCGAAACAGTCTAACGTCGCTGACGCATTGGAGATTCTTTGTGGTATCACAAGCCACTCCCAAAGCATACCTTTAGGTGTGCTCACTGCGGTATACGGAATCGATGGAAGATCCATTATAACTTGATAGTAGCCATCTACTAGATCAAGTAATTTAGAGGCGTTCGAGCCGATTATCTTGTTGATAATGGCACCCTAGCAAGGAATAGGGGTCTGGGCTGGCTCATTTTTGGCGTTTAATTTGTTGTATGCGCGTACAATTCGCCACTTACTATTGGATTTGCGAACACAAAACGTTGGCGCACTAAGGGGAGCTTACTCTTTCTCACCCACTCCAGTTGCTGTTTATCAGCAATGAACGAGAATATAATCTCGGATTGCTTAGGTGGCGATGGCCATTGACGCAATAGCAGATATCTTGCACCTGGCTCAATCTCGATCTAGTGTCGTATACCACGATCTGGCGGGATGCCTCATGAGAGTTCTGGACTCAAACACATCGGCTTGCACTTTGGCACAAGGGCAAAGTAAAGATCGCACGGATTTTCGAAAATAATTGATCTGCCTCGTGATTCAAATCGCTTTCAAAAATCTTCGACGACACTTGGATCCACGTATTTACCTCATTTGTTGCTGCGCTTGCTCGACGAATCAAAGCGACTTCGGCGAGCGCGGCATTGTTGAGGTCTTCAAGAAATTTGGAAGGTTACTTCTTCTAGGCTTGCGAGAGCAGATATTTCTGGCAGTGGCCATAACGGGTAATCCCGTCACTGCTTTCACATCTGAATTTGTGCTTCCATAGTGGTATGAACCACTGGAGCATAAGCTTCCCAACATAAATTAGACTATGAGATCGATGGCTTCCATGTTAGAAATGCCTACCGGAGCGTTGTAAATCAGCTTGTGGGCTCATACAGTAGCTTTTTCTACTGGAGCTTTAGCTTCCACGATAGTTCGTACTATCGGAGCATGACGTGCGCTCACAGTACCGTTAGCTACTGGTGTCTCCACAGTTATGCTCTCTACTGGAGCGTATGGTTCATTCACAACACCGTTAGCTATTTGAGCTGTTGCTTCCTTAGTAGATTAGCCTATTGAAGCATGAAGCGCTTATACGGTAGTATCATCTGACGGAGCATTGGCTAGGTGGACTTCTATAATAGACTTCA